TACTCTGCCAGGTGCTGGTAATGCAAAAATGAGTCAGACAGTTAAATGGTAGAGGCTAAGATGGAAACAGACACATTTTCATAGTGGAGTGTTATGGGCCCAGAAGATCAACCAGCTGGTTGTGTCTGTGGGAGTCAATGGTAAAAGTGGGGGAGCTGAGTCTTGAAGAAGGAATACTTGGAAGGCAGAAAAGATAGTAGATGAAGGTGTCTTAGTGTATTTGGCAAATGGTGAGAAAGTCAGCATGACTACAAGAACTGTGCTGAGTGGAATGTCTTCAGTGACTCTTGCATGAGTCTAAGAATGGCTTCAAGTTTCCTGGTCAACAGGGACTTCATTAGCAGAGGTGAAGAAGAGGGCTCAAGAAACAAATTTTTGATGAGTTCAGTTTGACATGCCCACAAGCTATCCAGGAGAATTTATCCAGCAGGCAGGTGGAGATAGGACAGGAAGTTGAGAAGAAAGGTCAGTACTGGGGATAAAGATTGAGAAATCATTAGCATGATGATGGTAAAATCATGGGAATCGATGATGCAGCTTAGAGCGTAAGAATGTATCAAGAAAGGACAACCAGTTTTCCTCTTTTACATTTCCCTGGTGCCTGGGTCTTGCACCCTCAGTCTCTTTTCCCAGTCTTCCCCTGAATCCTGCCCCAGGAATGACTTGAAGTATAGCTCTGAATACGCTAGTCTCTACTCAGAAGCTTTCAGAATAGGGTAGGTACGGTAGCTTATGCCTGTAATCTCAGCAACTTTGGAAGGCCAAAGTAAGCGTAGCACCTGAGGTCAGGAGTTTAAGACCAGCCTGGTCAACGTGGTGAAATCCCATCTCTACTAAAAATAAAAAAATAATAATTAGTCAGGCGTCTTGGCACATGCCTGTAATCCCAGCTACTCAGGAGGCTGAGGCAGGAGAATCCCTCAAACCTGGAAGGTGGAGGTTGCAGTGAGCTGAGATTGCACCACTGTACTCCAGCCTGGGTGACACAGCAAGACTCTGTCTCAAAAAAGAAAAAAAGCTTTCAGAATAAAACACAGATGCTTTAGCCCCTTTAAACTTGCCATTGTTTCTGTCAGATGTACCATTTCATCTACATTTCCAAATGTTCCCTTTCAGCCACACCACAGTAATTGACATTCCCCAAACAGGTCATGTACTTTCATCTCTGGCTTTTCTATGCCATTTCTTCTGCTCAGATGGCGAAAGAACATGGGCTTTAGAGTCAGAAATATTTTTATTTAAACACCGACTGACTCTTCCGCTAAATAGGGGTATTAACTTGAGCAATTTATTGAATCATTCTGAATCTATTTCCTCACAAGCTAAAAGGTCAAGATTGGATTATTGTAATTATAATATCATATTTAGACATCTTTATAGTTGTCAGCATCAATAGGTGCTCAATAAAAATTAAGTATCTTTTATTACCATTCACCTCTTCTCCACTTACCATAATCATGTACTGAGGCTGGATTTTTCAAGCTTTATACCTCTTGGAAACCTTTTAAAATGATCCTCATCAGAGTTAATTTCACCCTTCTTTATGCTCCCCTGGCAGTTTATACCTCTTCAGAATATAACACAAGTTGTCTGTTTCCTCTACCATATTACAGATTATTTGATAGTAAGAACCTTATTTTTATAGCCCTATTACCTTGCAACTGGTAGATGTTTGAATTGAATTCTAGGAAAATCTACTTTAACATATTCTTTCTTTTGCTTGTTTTTCTCTCTTTTGTTTCTTTAGTTTGTTTTTCTCTCTTCTGTTTATTTTTTAGTGTTTTGCTGTTGTTGTTTATAGCTCTATTGAGATATAATTCACACACCATAAAATTCACCCATTTAATATGTACAATTCAGTGGTTTTTAGTATATTCAGAGTTATGCATTCATCTCCATGATTGATTTTAGAACATTTTCATTGTCCCAAAAACAAACCCCGTACCCTTTAGGTCATCATCCCTTCCCCAACCTTCCATGTCTGCCTCAGCCCTAGCCATCCACTGATGTACTTTCTGCCTCTGTGGATTTGCCAATTTTGGACATTTTATATAAATGGAATCATAATATGTGGGCTTTTGCAACTAGTTTCTTTCACTTAGTATGATGTTTTAAAGGTTCAAGTTGTAGCAGGTATTGGTACTTCATTCTTTTTTATTGTAAAAAAATTATACTATCATATGAAGATACCATATTTTATCCTTTCGTTAATTGATGGACAGACATTGGCGCCATTTCCACTTTTGGCTATTATGAATAATGCTGCTATGAACATTCATGTACAAGTTTTTATGTGAACATACATTTTGAGTTCTCTCTAATATATACCCAGGAGTGAAATATGCTTAGTTATATGGTAACACTCTGTTTAACCATTTGAGGAATTGCCAAACTTTTCCAAAGCAGCTGCTGCACTGTTTTACATTTCTATTAGCAGTATATGAGGATTCTAATTTTTCCACATCTTTGGCAACACTTATTATTGTCTGGTTTTAGTTATAGCCATTCCAGTGGAACAATATTTTAGTAGTGAAATATTCTTAATTCAATCAATCACTATTTAATTGAGTGCTAGCTATGTGCCAAACATCATTCTGAGCTATTGGGACCACTGGTAAAGAAAAGAAACAAATATATCTGCCCAGGTGGCTCTTATAGTTAAGTGGGAGGACTTACCCAATACATAATAAACATAATAAATGTTTATCCAAGTTCCTGGATGAAATAAGATTTCTTTTTTTCTTTGCTGATTATCAGACAGCATTTTTCTTACACAATAATTTTACCTCTTAGAGATGTGATCCAGTTTAATTTAACAACTTTGATATGACTACATTCAACCTATAAGGAGGTGGTAAGCACTGTAAGAAAAAGAGAGGAAAAGGAAAAAGGTGATCAAGAAGGTCACCAGAAGGGAAGGGACGGTTTTATTGTTCAGCAGGGTGATCAAGTTAAGCCACACCGAGAAGGTGAGATTTCAGCAAAAACTTGAAGGTGAATGAGTTGGTTTAAGAGATGTCAGTGAGAAGAGTTTTGTAACCAGAGGAAGCAATGATTCCAAAGGCCCTGAAGTCCAAAGGCCCTGTGCTCAAAAAAAAAAAAAAAGGAGAGTCCAGTGTGGTTGCATGGGAGGTAACAAGGGAGAGAATAGTAAGAGGCAAGGTTAGCATGGCTATGAGGCCAAGTCACATAGGATTTAGCAAACACATATTGCATGGGACTCATTTTTACTAAAGAATTATTTATTGTTTATCTGAAATTCAAATATAACTGACCATGCTGTACTTTATCTAGCAACTCTACTTGGAGGCACTTGTAAGGACTTTGACCTTTATCCCGAGGTGGAGAGGGAGCCATTGCTCGGTTTACAACAGAATAGAGACATCATTTCTCTTAGGTTTTTAAAGAATCATTCTGGCTGCTGTGTTGAGCATGGGCTAGGGAGAGTAAAGATGGAAACAGGGAGGCCTGGGAGTCTATTGCAGTAATCTACATGAGGGATGACAATGGCTCAGACCAGAGGGTGGTAGCAGAGGGGGGTGAGAAGTAGTCAGATTCTGGATATATTGAAGGTAGAGCCAAACACATTTCAACATGGATTGCATGTAATATGTGAGAGGCAGAGAGGATTTAAGAATGATATCTTGGCTTTTGGCTTGAACAACTGGAAGAACAGAGTTGCCATCGAATAAAAGGGGAAGACTGTGGGTGAAGCAGGTTTAGGGAAGAGAATTGGTTTATTTGGGCATGCAGAGCTGCTGATAGGTCATAAGATGAGGCATAGCCATCAGCCTGCAGAATTTATGGCATTTTTCATACAAATATCCAATAATGTAAGTAAAAAGTCATCCCCTTTGGTGGGGATGGATTTTTTACTTATTGTGCTTAATATCTTATTATATAAAAAGGGTCTTGAGGCTAGGCAACATTGTGAAGCCTCATCGCTACAAAAAAAAAAAAATACAAAAATTAGCTGGATATTGTGGTACATGCATGTAGTCCCAAGTACTTAAGAGGCTGAGGTGGGAGGATCAATTGAACCTGGGAGATTTGTGCTGCAGTGAGCCACTGCACTCCAGCCTGGGCCACAGAGTGAGACTCTGTTTCGAATAAATAAATAAATTTTTTAAAAGGGTCTTCTACATTCCAGAGTGAACTTACAAAAAATGCTTAGAGAAAGAATAGCCAGGGTTGGATTTCAGTTTCCTGGTTTCTTCTTCAATATCTGAGCTATAAAAACCAAGCTGAATCCCAACATCCCACGTCACTTGGCACTCAAATTTATGTTTCCATAGATGTTTTCCTTCATCTCTAATCATTTCTTTTCATGTATTCTCTAACTATGAGAGAAAATAATTTTATTATTTAGATTGTTTCTTTACTGTACTTCTGAAGGCTTGAAAATGTGCCCTGGACATGGAACGGATCACCCCCTCCCCAGAATGCCTGGAACACGGTACCCTAGAGGGCTGGTGAAGTGTGAGCCCTCGCTGTCCTCAGCGTGTGCACGGCCATCTCCCCTGTGCGCCCTTCACTCATTCCAAATGGTTTTGAAGGGATGACTCTCTCAATTCCTTCCCTCTTTTAATCCAAGTTCCTGGGTAAAATGATATATTTTTTTTCTGTCCTGATTAGCAAGCATACCTTTTCTTGCATGATCATTTTTACCTCTTTTTCTCAGATTTGTGGTACCGTTTAATTTGACAATTTTGATATGGCTAGATTTAAAATTATCTGCAACTTTTATATCTATTATAGGACTATGCATTTCCAAGGATCCATGGGGAAAAAATAAATGTTAGTTGGGAAGAAATCTATAAACGATGGCCTCTTTCCTGGAGGTCTTATGTACTGTGTTGTTTTTAATCATAACATTTTAAATTGGCACACTCTTACAGACAGCATTCTTTTACAATAATTATTATGTTTTGTTTTTATGCTGAGAAGTAAGTACTGATTAAATGACGAATTACATATATTGTGTTGCCTGTGTTTTGCAGGACTTGAGAGAGACAAGTTTGATAATAAAACTGTTTCATTTGAGGAGCACATTAAGTCAGAACACAATATGTGGCATTATTTGTACTTTATAGTCCTGGTGAAAGTTAAAGACCCAACAGAATACACTGGACCTGAAAGTTACGTGGCTCAAATGATTGTGGTGAGTGACCAGGTTTTAATTTGTGACTATATTGCATTTTGTAGGCTTTCATCTTCTCTACCCTACAATCCTCCCAAAATATGAAGATTGTAGCAATCATTTTTGTTAACATTGAAATAAGCCTATCAGTCATTGGAGAACATCTACACTAAGTCATTGGTTGCCAGTAGATTTCTTGGTTATTCAAACCAAATTTGAGTCTCCAGTGCACAGATGATATTTACTGGATTCTCTGTGCAATGAATGACTAGTACTATCTCAGTGATGTCCATCACCTTCTGACCTCATGCCTTTTATCATTGCTAATGTCCTACTTCCTGAAATCTGGAATTTTCCCATTGTTAAATATGAACAGACAATTCATACCTTAAGGAATCCCTTGAATTTCAAAAATCAAGAGTTTAAGAAATTAAATTGTGTTTGGGGAGAGCACTGGTTTTCCACCAACACCTTCTTAGGATTGATTTACTAATGTTGATGAATTTGCACTGGTCCTGCCAAGTCCAGTTGCTTATAACTCCTCAGTGAGATCAGGACACAGGGTGTGATTGTCCATGATTTGAAGTTTCTTCTATCTCATAGAGAATTAAAGTAAATTGGCCCAAAAGGGAAATTAAAGTTATAACTTTAGTGTATACAGATATACATTTAGTGAGTGGTGTTGGATCTGATTTAAATTTTTGCATTTTTATAATTAAATATAGCTATATATTGGATATTTTTTCCCCAAAAAAATTATCTAACAAAATTGTGTTCACCATTTGAGAAAGAGGCCTTAGATGACTCATGGTCCTCCTTGCTACTTGGTCCTAAGGATAACACTTAGCAAGCGCCAATGTTTGCACCAGTGTTGCAGTGTCAACAAGCTTATCATCTACTTAGGATGAGACTATGCTTAAGGAGCAACCAAAGAACATTTTTGGAAGATAACATATTAATAATTACAAGTTTGTATAGTCATAATTTACCTTTCCTGCCAATGTTTATGTGTCACAAGAGAACTACATGTAAATTGTATTTTTATATTTCGGCATTTTCGTGCTTTGTTATTAATGACGTGCATTTTATTACAAGCTGTTTTCTCTGCATTATTTATTTGACAATGGGCAGAACCTAACATTGTTTGTCTTCTCCACTTTTGCCTTTCTGCCTTCTCCTTTATAATCAGAGGAAAAAGGTAATCATTTTAAGGATATATATTCATGGCCATCATTTATACTTTCTTGATCTCATTTGTGAAAAACATTTTGTTTCTGCTTGCTGGGGGGAGAAGCATGTAAAGCATTATATTTAAAATGTGACCTCACGTTGCTGTCTTTTATCAAAGTTTGAGTAAGTTTAATCAATATACATTTATTATGCTCCTATTATATGCCTTGGATGAATAGATGCTCGGGTATACACTAAAGAGTATGATATATTTCTCCTCTGCCAAGGAACATACAGCTTAGTAAGAAGAAGAGGGGAATAACAAACCCAAAGTAGAAGATGCCAGGCTCTGCAAGAGAAGTCCAAATGAAAGCCTGTGAAGGCTTCCAGACAGGGAGTGGCATCCAGTGAGAGCAGGTGGAAGGAATTGATGGGGGTGGGGTTGTAATATGCAGGAGAAAGGATGGGGAGTGTGTATCTATAAGAGGGAGGAGCCTAAATAAAAGCATAAACATGAGACTCTCAGGGGATCTTGAGTTGTCCAATTTCACTGGCACATGGTCCACTTACAGGGAAACTCTGAGAGATCTGACAGGAAATGTAGATCAGAACTTTGAATAAAAAAGGGAAGAATTTGGATGTTATTTCATCAACAAAGGGAAACCTCTAAAGTTTATACCTAAGGGAATAATGTGACCTAGGCAGACAGGCAGGCAGAGATGTGCAGGCTGGTTTGGAGAGGAAAAAGGGGAAGTCAGAGATGGAATTTGGCAGCAGATGAGATTAGGAGTGAGGACATGTGAGGAGCAGGGGAAGTAGAAGAGAGCAAGATGAGCCTCAGATGCCAGCCAGTGTGAGCCTGGACATTGGGAGAAAGGTGGTGGGTCAGTTTCACATGATGTCTTTGTTAGGGAGAGAAGCTGGTCAGAGAAGTCTTGTTGATTTTGAGGTGAGACTGGAGGCCATGAGTCATGGGTTGGGAGGAGCAGGGTTGGGGCAACAACTTGAGTCTTGGAGCCTGGAGGATTAAGCTGTTGCTCTGTCATTCATCTGCCGGGTGGTCTTGGATTTCATGGATGAGTGTTGAAACCTGCCTAAGCCTCTGCCTCCTCATCTAAATGGAGGGACTGCTACATTGCCCACAGGAGGGTTGTGGACTCAGTGAGATGATGTATAGAAAGTGCCTCATAGGGTGCAGGGACTCTCTCCGTAAATGATAGTTCCTTACCGTGACAGTCCACGTAGAATGACCATGGAAGCCGTCAGATTAGAGAATGGTGAGGAAAGGGAAGGAGGGTGAAGATAGAAGAGAAAGTTTGAGACAGAACCCAGGGGACCCCCATTCAGGAAAAAGAAGAAAGACAAGTGAATAAGTACAAAAGGAGACAACAGAGAAGGCAGAAGGAGAGCCAGGAAGAGGAGTATGTCCAAAGCTGAGATGAGGATTTCAGTGGCAGAGTCTAGCAACATCAATTGCTGCAAAGAGGCTAGAAAGAAGAGGCAGGTCAAAGCCTTTGGATTTGATGATATAGAAATCACCAGGTGACTTTTTTTCACAAGAGAAATCTGCTGTGAAAATGTTGACCCATCTCTAGCCTTAACATTAAAAACAGCATTTTACCAGGCACTTGTGCTTGAATTTTTAAATACCCAACTACTTATCCATGTTTCTGCCCAGCCTCTTCTGTCAGAGGCTTCTCCAGAGCCATGACAAGAGGGAGAAGAGCTTACAAGCTTATTCCAACATGAAACGTTTCATTTTCATCCAAGAGAACAGGCTCCATTCCTGAATTTTAATGGCCAGGAGAAGGAAGGGTGATATTCACTTAGGCCTGATGGAAATGAAAAGTTGTTTGCATGGAAGGTTATTTCTGGAAATAGCCTTTTTGGAAACATCTAAAAACCTGTAGCTGAAAAATCCATTTCAGAAAATCTGTTTCTCCATCCTCTGTGGAGATGATGGCGTTGTGACTATCTTCTTAGAGAGAGAGAAGATTTTGTAGCATGTGGAAAGTTGAAGTACATCAAGTTCAATTCAAAGACTGTTATTTCTCTTTTTTTTCTCCACTCCTGAGCAGCTACTCTTCAAAGTTTGATAGGAAACCTTCCAGGCATTTTCCTGCCACTCTTATTTTTGTTACTTAAAAGTAGTTTCACTTAACAAGTTGATTATGTGCTTGTTTATCAATACGGTTTTGGAAGAAGTTTAAATTTCTTTATAACTGATGTTGCTTTTACTCTTACGGATTTATGGAAAGGAAAATGTGAAAAGTCTTTCCTCATATTAGTTCACAAACCAACTCATCTGAATCATGCTACACTGTTTATGTAAATCTGATTTGTACCTTGGGACCCTTAGAAAATGCCTCCTACCTTCTGGGGAAATAGGAAAAACAAGAATAGAATAAGTTCTGGACGTTCCTCCCTCTGTATATATTTTTTTCCAGTGCTTCAACTTCATTACCATGTCAGTAAGGAATATTTATACTAATAGCCATTAACACACTGTGTTAGTCTGTTTTGCGTTGCTGTAAAGGAATACCTAAGGCTGGGCAATTTACAAAGAAAAGAGGTTTATTTGGTTCACAGTTCTGCAGTATGTACCAACATGAAACTGGCATCTGTCTGCTCAGCTTCTGGTGAGGCCTCAGGAAGCTTTCACTCATGATAGAGGTGAAGTAGTAGTAAGTGTGTTACATGCAAGTGAGGGAACAAGAGAGAGAAGGAAGGGAAGTGCCATACTCTTTAACAACTAGATCTCAAGTGAACTGATAGAGTGAGAAATCACTCATTACTGTAGGGAGGGCACCAACCATTCTTGAAAGATATGCCCCCTTGACCCAAAAGCCTCCTACTAAGCCCCACCTATAACACCAGGGATCAAATTTCAACACGAGGCTTGGAGGAGACAAACCATATCCAAGCCATAGTACCTCAGTTTCTTTATTTGTAAAATTCAGATACTAGGTAATATTGTATCTATTGATTACATTTTAACATGAGATTTGGAGGGGACAAATATACAAACTGTATCAAACATACATTTTTAAAAAAGTAATACATTGCTTCTCAGAGTTAGACTCACAGGAAACACACTTGTGTCTTTGTATCCATCCAATGATAGGATCAAGGGTCTGAAATATTAATCAAAACTTAAAACTTTCTTACCTCTGCCTTCAAATACTTATCTTTTTTTGTTTTGTTTTGTTTTGTTTTTTTGAGACAAAGTCTCACTCTGTTGCCCAGGCTGGAGTGCAGTGGTACAATCTTGGCGCCTGCCAGGTTCAAAAGATCCTCCTGCCTTAGCCTCTCAAGTAGCTAGGACCACAGGCATGCACCACCACACCTGGCTAATTTTTGTATTTTTAGTGGAGATAGGGTTTTGCCACATTGGCCAGGCTGGTCTCAAACTCCTGACCTCAAGTGATCTGCACCTGCTTTGACCTCCCAAAGTGTTGGGATTACAGGCATGAGCCACAGCACCAAGGCTTGCCTTCAAATTCTGAACCAATCTATGTAAATAGCCATTGTTTGATTATTTGAATTAACATAGAGGGCCTTCTAGGATATCGTTCAAGGAAATGCGACTAGATCAAGGTATTTTGGGGATGTATTTTCTTGTTAAGTAAACCCTCTTGTTTGATCAAAATAATTGATATTTTGAGCTAGTATTTACTGGGAATGGAAGGTAAGAAGGAACCATACAGGAAAGTAAAAATAATAAAAGAAAATTTAGAAAACTAGAGGAAAAGATATGAAAGGAGAAATCCTCTATTCTGTACTGATAATGGCTTTTGAGCATCACTAAGCCCCTTTGCTTCTCCCATTAAGCAAAGGATGTCATGACTGAGGAGGAACAAACAAAATAGACATCATTAGAAAAAATGTCCAAGACTTTTAGATGTTTCTCTAACATTTTGGGGACATTTTCAGATTGTTAGTGTTCATTTGCTGAGGCATATTAAGGGATAGTTACTACTTAATTTGACAGACAGCAGGATCCAAACCAGAGGAATGTATAAGGGCAGGTGCCATGCATGTCCAGGGAACTACTGTCTCCACAAGTATTCTGGCAGCACTCGGCTGCTAGTGAGACCTGGCTGGCCACCCTCCCCCTGTCATGGCCATGGGTTTTCAGGAACCATTTGTTCTTTTTACGGCATCACAGTTTTCAACTCTTCTACTTGTCTCTTGACTAACAGCTGCATCCTGACATTGCAGCAGTGTTGAAGACAATTTAACTCATATTTTTGTTAACATAATAATTGTCTGTCTTAACCAAAAAATAAGTTTCTTAAAAGCCATAATCGGCCGGGCGCAGTGGCTCACACCTGTAATCCCAGCGCTTTGGGAGGCCGAGGCGGGTGGATCACGAGGTCAAGAGATCGAGACCATACTGGTCAACATGGTGAAACCCC